TTGTCAATGCCTTTCTAATGTGTAGTCTTGTTTCAAGACTTTTTAGTCTTCTTGTTTTTAGCAATAGCTATTCTAATTTAATATTATATCATCTTTGAATGACTTCCTAGTTCCTTTCAATGATACAAGAGTATATTGAAGATTTTCTTTCTTCAAGATTCATGTCCTTGAAAATCAACCAACACCAAAGTGGATTGTAGAATTTATCTTTTATTTAGTAAATTTAATCTTTTTAAAAATATTTGTTGCTAGCTTAATTTTTGAGAGGTGTATAAAATTTGAATTACAATCAATAGTTTGATTGTTATTCATAGAAATTTTAATTTATTATAGGATTTATTAAGAATTTATTTAAAATTTAGAATTGGTTTAGGATCTAAAATTTTTTTATGATTTGATAAGGATTTGTCAATGATTTGATTAAAATTTGTCTAAAATTTGATTAAGATTTGATTAGAATTTTTTTAGAATTTGATTAAGATTTATTCAGGATTTAACTAAGATTTGTCTATGATTTGAATAAAATTTGTTAGAATTTTATTAAAGTTTGATTAGGATGTGTTTAGAATTTGTATAGGATTTTTGTAGGATTTGATTAAGGTTTATTTAGGATTTGTCTAGGATTTATCTAAGATATTTTTAGGATTTAATTGAAATTCAATTAAAATTTACTTAGGATTTTTTTGTCTTTCTTTTATAATTTATTTAAAAATTTAATTCAACTTCATGAATATTTGATTATATTTTTTAATATTTAATTATAATTTATATATGATTCTATTAGAGTTATTAGGACTTGTTGTTATAATTTTCTTTTATCTTTCATAACTAGGTGTCTAGAACATTCTCAAGTAAAACTTCACATAATACAACACCATATATACAAAACATAAGAACCTTAAGTATTTCATATTAATACGTGTTTTAAATTATCACAAAATTTATTAAAACATAACTTTATCAAGATTTGATTTCAAGTTTACTTATTGATTAAAAAATAATAAGATTTATCAAACACCTTTTCAAAATGTTCTTATCTTATACCAAAAGAAGGAAATGCAACCTATAATCAACAAATAATGTCTTTTTTGAAGTCAAAGCATTTTCATCTTTGAACAATGAAATCAACATTAATTTCTGATTCAACCTTTTTCAAGCAAGTTCAATTGTATATGTCCTTTGATTATCTTATTCATAATATTAAAAATAATTTTTTTAAGTCTGATAATTTTTATAAATTTTAGTTTTAAAATAATCTATTTTATTTTAAAAAATAATTATATATTCCAAAAAGCAAAGCACAATTACATATTTTTCAAGCTTATTAAGACTTTCTACTAAGCAGATAATTTAGATACAATAAGACTTTGGAATTAATATCAAGAGATTTTTAGTGGCTTGAAATGTGAAAGGCAGTCAAAGACTTTGTACAATCATGTAATATTTCTTCAAGATCAAAAACTCCTCTTTAGCAACCTTATAGATTTTTTCAGTTATTATCACTTTTGGAACAGTCTTGATCTTTTGTTTCTATGGATTTTATCATGGAACTTATAGTCTTAGATTCATATGATTCTGTATTCATGATAGTAGATTATTTTACTAAGATGGCACATTTTGTACCATATACAAAATCTATCATAAATAAAGAAACAATTATATTTTTTTTTTGACAACATCTATTGTTTTTATGGATTGTCCAAGAATATTATATCAAATAGAAAGACTCATTTTATATTAAAATTTTGGAATATAATTTTAAGATTTTAAAAATAGATATAAAGCGTTCTTTATTTTTTCATCCTCAAAACAATGGATAAATAGAACATAAAAGGTAAGTTTTGGGGTAATATTTGAGGTGAATCATTAACTACTAATAAGATGATCGGACAGCTCTTTTACTATTGGAAAAGTTTTCTTATAATAATATAATATATTCTTTTTTATAATATTTTTTTTTTAATTAATTATGGTTATCATCATCATTTTATGCTTTTGACTTCTCAGAAGTTGATAATCCTACAACAAAATATTTGGAAAATATTTTATGTAAGTTACATACAATAATAAAGGCTCAATTAAAAGAAATTCAAAAACAACAAAAAATCAATGTAAATGCCTATCATAAAAAACAATCTAAATTCCATATTGGCAAAAAAATATACTTATTTTATCACAATATAAAGATTAGCTATCCTTATGATAACTTTGATTATCATAGGTTTGAACCATTTTTTATTTGTAAATAAATCAATTAAGTTGCTTATTGATTACATCTATTGAAGATTTTAAAGACTCATTTTATATTCCACATATCTCTTTTTGAGCTATATTAGACAATGAATATCTTGAAAAGAAGACAAATGTCACTTCTTCCTATAGAAGTGAATAATATTCAAAAGTTTGAGATGGAAGAAGTCTTAGATTCAAAGTGGCGCTCAAATAGATTAGAATATATTTTTCATTAGTATGGATATGATATTAGTGAATGTACATGAAAGCTTGCCAAGAATCTTACAAATATAGTAGAGAAGGTTGATGATTTTTATTGAGAATATCTATCAAAATCAAAATGAAGGATAGAAAATTTTTATTAAAAAAGTAATAAGATTTAGGAACAATAGCATTCTACTTTCTATCCTTGTTTCTAATTTTTGTATATTTGTGATACTAAGAAGATGGAAAAATAAAAACGAGTAGATTCAATTAAAGACTTATCATTTACTGACTTATCAAATGAGATATTGTGATTGTTACAACCTTCAAGGCGACGTAATCAAGATAAAGAACATCAAGAGTAACATATTCTTCCTTAAATAAATGGCAAATTTTACCATGTTTTATATCATGGCTTTCAAAGAAACTTCTAAAATTTGGTGTTTTTATTAAATGTAGGAATAATCCTTCACAGTATTTCAAATGTTTTATTTGAAAGGAATTATAAAGGCCTAAAAAATAATCAAATAATAAGGTGGTCTTTTTGTCCTACTATAAGACACTATCAATGGGTGAAAGGACCTATTAACCATCTTTAGAGAGAACAAAGATCAAAGTATGTAGCAAACATAATTTGATGCATCTTGGATTTTTTCAATATATGATAAGGAGTACTCTTTATAGAATTCATCTCTAGAAGGGAGAAATAATTTCATGAATAAATATATATTTATTTTAATTATATATATGATTAAGTAAAAATAGATTAAAATAGATTAATTTTATAATATCTTTTAGGAAAGCTTTTTTGAAGCTTCAAAGTTGCAACTTTGTCTTTACACATGTTTATAGATTAGAAACTTGATCAACAAGTTAGACATGTGTTACATGTATTGATAGCTTGTAGAACATGTTAACTATGTGGCATATATATATATATAAAAAACTTGTCTTGTAAGTTACAACATGTGTCCCATAATTTAAACACATAGCAGAGGTCCTATAGAACGTCACCATACAACTTTTAATTAGATAGTTTATATAGAAGCAAGAATCAAGCCTTCTTCACTCTTGTCAATGTTTTTCTTATTCTTACTTTAGTTTTAAGAGTCTATATGCTTCTTGTCTTTCTATGGCAATATCCATTCTAGCCTTAATACTATATTCTTTTTAGAATGAATATCTATTCTTCTTAAATTATATAAAAGTATTTTAAGGTTTTTTTTATTTTGATTCATATCCTTGACAACTTATTATGAAATTTTTGAAGCATTTTATTCAACATAGTTTTAAACATATTTATAATATTTAATTTTTATTTTTTTCTATTTTTTTAAAAAATAGAAATTACTATTGTTAAGAATATAAATCTAAATGAAATAATAAAAAGATAATAAATTTATGTAATAATAGAAGTTTGATTGTAGAATAATAGTATTTTATGATATTATTACTAAAAAGATAATAAATTTATATAATAATTGTAAGTTAATATTATTCTATATTAGTATAAAACAAAGTTTGTATCAAGCATCATTTAAAAAACTTTAGGCATTATCAAATTATGAAATAATTTAAAATATAATTTCTATTATAAATTTTTATAATACTTAGATAAATGGAAATAGATAGAAGTATATAAAAAATATTATGTAAAGTTTGGATGCTTCAAAAGTTTTAATATATATATATACATATTTATATGTAACAACATATGTAACAACATATTTATACATATTTTTAAATTTTTAAATTTTATTTTACTATAATATATATTTATTATATAGAAATTTTCTATATAAATTTCTATTGTGTGATTTCAATATTATTAACAAATTTATAGAAAGCTAGTTTTTTTCTTTTCTTCTTCTTAATACTCTTTTATTAAGAAATAACTACAAGAAAAATATTTTTTTCTTAACCATGATATATTTTGATGAGATTAAAGCATACAAGAAATATATGATTCGAATTAAAAAATAAATAAATAAATAAATAAATAAAAATCGAAACTTTAAAAAAAATGTACGTACATATATAACACATAGATATTTAACTATATACAAACATGGAATGTAATAGTACATGCCAATTCAAGCAGGCAATTGCACCTTGCCTTTGAGCCTCTCGGTGTGAGTGGCGGATGACGCCGCAGTGGCTCATTGTCGGCAAGGGCCGCGTCTACCATTCTTGCTGCATCGTCATTCCTGATCACAAGTCAGTCCCCCAACCATAAATTATCTTCAAGAGTGCCTTCCATAAGCAAGCTCACGGAACTGTCTGTAACATGTATTGTAGGTGGAGTACAGAATTGTCGTTTCTGTTTTAGACGTCAGGCTTGCTTAACATTTTATTTAAAAAACTATTTTCAGAAATATACATCATGGCCAGGGGTGATGAACAGTCGGAAAATTCAGATCGGGTCACAACTTCGGAGAAAAGATGCCGCACCTCGACTCCACCTTTTTGGTGTCATAAATTAATTAATCGGTGTACGCATATTTGCTCCTTGATTTAGGTCCTGAACGTGGTTGACGCCTTCTGCAGACGTGTTAACAGTGTACGCATTTTGTCGGTAACGCGGTGTCGCCGATGATCTATGTACCGACCATTTCCACTCTAGTAAGGGCGAATTGTTTTAAACGCCGGCGCATCCGAGACAATGATGTGATGACGAGGAATTGATCCATCAATTTGGCGTGGCCCACTTGCAAGTGGCTGGTGAAAGGTAGACCCTTGTTTGCAAAGTCCAGCTTTGGTCGTATAAAATGATAGCGGACACACTTTCAGTCAATAGTTGTTCAAGTTTACAGCCAGTGTTTGAAGTTGATGTTCAGACACCTGCAGGAAGTTTTTGGCCAATTTTGAAGTTCGAGGTTAATTTCCTGGTATTGTAAGGTGTTGCGCTAGAAGAAGAATGCAAGGCGAAGCGACAGTGGCTATCAAACAATACATGGCAACTAGTGGACGCTATGGCGACGATTATGGTGTAGTGTGCAAGAGATCGCCACCAGGTCGCGCAAAATTTTTGGAGTTCAGGCACGACGTCGTACAGCAAGAGAGGTTTAAAGGAATCAGGTACAGGCCTGAATTGGGCCGCTACATTTCAGAGATACGACCCGCTCAACCGAGAAAACGAAAAATCTGGTTGGGTACGTTCAAGACGGCCGAGGAGGCAGCCCGTGCATTCGATGCAGGCATTTTTTATACGAAGAAACCCGTCGAGTACAACTTTGAAGACTCGCCCTCTATCTTGGAACCCCTGCCAGAGAATCTTTCTCCCGAGCAGGAACATATCGAGATCCAGAAGAGGGCCAAGGCCGCCGCAGCGAGAGTTGAGCCCTCGCAATCCGAGCGTCCACATCCAGGTACATACGCTAAGTTCTCGGACTCTTACTCAAGCCAGAAAAGGTCCAAACGATACTTCAATCAAGACAACGAGTATTGTGATGCCCAAGTGCATAGGCCTCCCAGGGAGATTCAGTTCTGGGAGGTTCTAAATCGGTCATAATCGCATGGCAAGTTCATTGTGACGGGGTTGCAGATATCATGCGTTTCGTAATGTAAAGAAGTCCATAGTTTTCTTTGAAAACTTAAGCGGAACGCAGACGTTCAGAACATAATCTGTTGACTTGGCTGAGAGCAGGCGTTGAATGTTACGTCCTTCATGAAGCTGATCTTACCAGTAGCAGAACGGCCAGAGGGTGTCAATTGCATCTGCAATGAAGAGCGCAGCTAGAATTTAATTTCGAGGATTAGATTTTAGCTTGACTAGAATCATTGTAAAAATTCTGAGGCAGCAGCCAATATCAACTTTGAGCATTTGAGAATGCACTGAGTGGGAACAAGTGAAAATAATAGCCAATTTTTCATGTCAATACGCTCAGATTTCCACGCCTCGTCTTCTGAAATACAGATCTTGAGATAAGAAAGTAGCCACTGTTCTCTCCAGGCTAGAATTACTGGCCTGTGATTTTGAGAGGCAATTCAGTGTCCCTCGGCCCAACGCCACAATACTGAACTGGATAATGAATCCTAGTTCAGACTTGAGAGTGAACTTGTACATTTGTACACATCAAATGACTCATCGAGGTTGTGGACTTTGGGGTTTTCTGTCCTGCCCTTTTTGGGTGTACAATGTTCTTTCCACTTATGTCAAGTGTCAGATTCTTTTCATTCCTTCCAACTTTCAGGTTTGATGAGAGGAGAAACAGCTGATTCGTTACTGAGATGGACATTACAAAACATCACGTGTGAAATCTTGTCATCACCGCACATTCTCCAAGACAAATTCTGAGTAGCAGAGTGATTAACTGAGTTTGTTGTTGGTTTTATGACATGTATGAATCTAAGTGTTGATGTGAGCACCCTAATTGGCTGAACCTCTGAAGTTCAAGGTTTTTTTTTTTTTTTTTTTTGGTGTATTTGCTTTAAGTGGAAGGTAGGACATTTCGACTGGATATTTAGCTTCAGAATTATTCAGGCAGCTATTTATTCAGAATGGTTAGCACAATGTTCAAGCTAATGTCTGTAATAGTACAATTTTCAACTTCAATCATCCTAAAATATCTGAGAACAATGCTCTTGAAGAAGCTAACTACACAAGCCTCAACACGTGAAGACTGTTGCCCATTCAGGATCTGAACATAAATTGACCACGAAATAGTTTATGAGTGTTCATAGATTCCAAAGTGACCAACCATCCATACTGATCTACAATGTTTCTCAGACTGACTAGCCGACCTCTTGACAACTGTGCTCTTAATATCTAACCCATTTCTGCTATTGTGATATTGAATTTCCTCGATCTTGTCAGAGAATAACTACCAGCAGCTGAATGTAAAACAATGTCTTGGCAGGTCTATGAAGACGAGAGAATTCATCCGCTTCAGAGCCACCTCGTGTTGCTAGAATGAATTTATAATGAGATACGGCATTGGCTGAGCACATGTTGCATCACGGACGAAGAAAAACTAGAGCTTGTAAAAAATTTCAAGTCCAGCTGCGCGGAGCAAATCTAAATACGTCTGCATGTGAACTTTAAATGAGCTAGTTGAAATGGCTTCGGTGTCGTGGAAGCTGCAAATCTCGGGATCTACAACCTCTCTATGACGAATTAGCCGTAGTGAGCAAGCTCGTGGCGTCGCACCGAAGCTCGCGATGACGCGCTGCGGTAGCCCGGAAACCAGAAAATTCTCGCTTCCAATTCATATGTTCACATATGTTTCACAGGACGGATCCATTCGGCTGTGCAATATTGATGAAAGTGAAGGTACAACTGACGATACAGACTCGTGGACGTGCGGCACCGCCTCCATGTGTTGCGTCCTTGACCTCAGCGCATCTACATTGGAACGCCAGACCACAAATTCTTTAATTATCAACCTCAAATAGTATATCATGTATACCCCTGAAATATGTTGAAATATCAAGAATACCTATGTATTCTTGATAATAATAAATATACTCCTCACTTTTGTGATAAAATCAAAACTACCCTTCAATCTCATTAGATATCACAACTATTCTTTTTTAAGTACAAGTGGGGCCCAACCTGTGTGTGGAGAAGAGATCTATGGGTCCACTTTGGAATCTATCACGAGATGAGACATTGCCTAAGACAACTTCATTTCAAAAGATATCACAACTATTCTTTTTTAAGTACAAGTGGGGCCCAACCTGTGTGTGGAGAAGAAATCTATGGGTCCACTTTGGAATCTATCATGAGATGAGACATTGCCTAGGACAACTTCATTTCAGCACTATCTAAAGCAAAATGCAATTGCCAACCTCATCATAGTTGCTCTGACTTTGGACCTCATCTGGCATTGTGTTTAGTTGCCTTCAACATTGAAGCAAAGATGGTCGTAGGAATAATCTCAAGTCTATGAAATTAGTACAATGCACATTGATATTTAGTTGTGCATTGAATTGATGGGAGAAGAGAGGAGGATGCTTGATATGATGAAAAAGAATGAGATTCTTCATAGAAATCTTTTCACCTCCAAAACATTGTGCACAAAGTAAAATGTTTCATCTTTGTAGCTCATGGGTAGTTTCACTTTAGAATTAATAGAATTGTTTCTAGGCCTCTATATAAATAGGAGGATTTTTAAGTGCATGAGACAAAATTGCAATAAAATGTACTTTGGCACATTCAAGCTAGTCTAAAAATATGAAGAGTTGCACTTTGACTTTTAAGTAGTAGCTAATCTAGAAATATAGAAGAATTATTCTTTCCTATGCAAAATTCAAGTGGAATAGGCTATTAGCATTAAAATACAAAGCCTTTGGTCTGTTGCTCATTCTTTTCCTTCTCAAAATTTTACTTCTTTAAGTAATTAAGATACTCTCTTTAAGTGAAGCTTTTGTAGTATTACTTCTTACTAACTTGGATCAGCTCTTAAAAAGCTAAAATAACAATATCTAAAGGAGGAGCATAAAAAAATACTAGAGATAGTTGTGGCACTTTGTCATTTAGGAAAACTTTGTATTCCATGCTCTTGAATTGTCCATTGGTCCATGTATGGAGATTGTTTCTAATGTTGACAACATACACACCTCGTCAAGACTTAACAATGATCCATTTTTTATCCTTATATACTTGTAATTTCTCTACTTAACATTAATATAACAAAGTGAGGGTGTAGAAATCACTACGTATGCCTAAACCAAGTATGAGATTGTATTTGGATTTGTAGGATAATAATTTAATTGTGCAATTGATTGGTTGGAATTCATGTGTTGGCTAAAATTATTAGCAACCAAGCCTAACCTTAGAGTACATAATTCTAGAATAAGTTTTGCCAACTTTTCTACTCTTAAGCAAAAGAATTCCGTAGATGCTTGGAAATTAAAACTAATATCAATAAGCATTGAACTGATTTCATAGACTTGAGATTATTTCTATGACCATCTTTTATTTCAATGCTAAAAGCAACTAGACACAATGCCTCATGAGGTCTAGAGTCAGGGCAACTTTGATGAGATTTTGGATTCCATTTTATCTCAATCACTACTGAAATGAAGTTGTCTCAAGTAATGTTTCTATTTCTTTATAGATTCCAAAGTACGTCCAATGATTTCTCCACAGCAATCATATTGCATCCCAATTGCACTTAAAAAAGAATACTTGTGATACCTTATCAAATTGAAGGATAGTTTTGATATTATCACAAAATTGATGGATACATTTGCTATTATCGAGAATACATGGATATTCTTGACATTTCAATATATTTTAGGAATATATATGATATTTTTTTTCTTTTTTTCTTTTTGCAAGAACAAAGAAAGGATGTATTCCATACATTGATTTGTGGTTGATTAGTAGTGGTGACAAAAAGTTGTCTAAGGCCTTGATGCCCTACTAGTATGGAGTATTCTACAATATATTCTAACTACTTAGGACCATTAAAACAAATTCAGCAAACATGGGTGAGAGATAACAAATTAATATGCTTTAATGTAGTATCAACAATTAGTTGGAATTACATACTCCACACAAGGTAAACATTAAACCAGTCCTTGAGAAATGAACTCTAATATTTCAAAACTTAATTTAGCAAAAAAAGGACTATACCTTTCTACTACAGGAGAAAAAAAAAAAAAAAAAAAAAAAAAAAAAAAACATAACATAACTATATTGGACTTATTAATATAAGTTGATTTATTTTTATTTTTTATTTTTTATTTTTTGACATTAAGACTAAGATCTTGTTATTTTTATCATTTTTACTTGTATTTTTTATAAATATTTTTAATAATATGTATTAATATTAATTTTTTAATTTAAAAATCATTCCATACTTCATTTTTAAAAAAATTGGTATTTTCTTAGATCTATTTGTACTATAAACATAGTATTTAAAGAAGAGACCAAATGAAGTTAAGAAATTTATATTAAATTAGAAGAAGTGAAGCAAAAATAATTTAATTCCTTAAGAAAATCTTTCATAGCTCTCAAATTTTATATTTTAAAATTATCTTGTATATGAAAAAAAATCCAATTTAATATATTAAAACTTTAATATAAGATTTTATATTATAAAATATAGTAAAAAATTACTTTAGAAATATAGATGATAGTTAAGGAGATAATAAATTTAATAAGCATTAATATTTTCTATTTATAAAAAAATGGCTTCTACTCACTCTGTAGAGCTATAAATAAGGAAAAAGAAGATAGATTAGCAAAATTAGTATTATGGTCATTTTAGATAGAAGTAAATAGTAGCTTATAGAAAAAATTACTTAAAAAAATTAAATATTAATACCTATGAAGGACCAGTTGTGAACATAGATCAAATTCAAATTCCAAGATACAAAACCATATGCCTAAAATAATTGCAAAAAATTATTTATTAATCAAAAAATCATATTAAAGAAAAAAATCAAAAATGCTTATTTAAGCTTTGGTTTTGATAATTTGAATTAGTATTGATTTTTTGAGAGCTTTTCAAAGTCACAATTCTTTTAGATGATTCTATCTTTTGTGAAATTAAAAAAGATTTATTTTTGAATTATTTTTGTAAGTTTTTTAGCAAATCAATGGATTTGGAAATAGAGTTTCTTTTGAGTGTATTTTATAAATTTAGGATTAATTGGATAGTTAGATTGAAGGTTATTGAAATTAAAGTGAATTAGGATCTCAAAAATTGGATTATAAGGATGAGAAGGGATTTTTAAGATTTGCAACAATATGCTAATTGGAATGAAGTGAAATTTTTTGGATTAATAGTGGACTTGGTTTCCAAGATTTTTTCAAAAATTAGAAAGCAACTAATCAATGTAAGAAAGAGATATCAATGCTAGAAGCTTCGCAACAAGATTGGAGAGGGAGGCAAGTTGATCCCTGAGAAAATTATAAGTATTTTTTAAAAAATTGTAAGTTTATTTCTATTCAAATTTTTTGTATTGGTTTTAATCTAAAATATTAGAAATTATACAAATTTTAAGTTAAAATTAAACTATTGATTCATTAATTATTAAGGTTTTGAATTTGCTATAGGATTGATTGGAGTTGATTAAGGTTTAATTCTGATTTTTTTAAGGTTTATTTAAGTATTTTAATTAGGATTGATTAGGATTAATTAAAATTTAATTAAAATTTAATTATAATTTATTTTAGATTTTATTAAGATCTACTAATTTTACTTAGATTTTTATTAGGATTTTTTTAGGATTTAATTATAAATTTTAAAGTTTTTATAGGATTTTATTAAGATTCATTAAGGATTTTTTAGGATTTATTTGGAAATAATTAGAGTGGAATAAGATATATCTAAGGTTTTTCTAAAATTTGATAGGATGTACTTAAAATAATTGGAAGCTTACTTAGGTTGTTCAAGTTTATAAAAGGGTGTTTGCAAATACTATATGCATTATTTTAGATTGTAAATCCAACTTTAAGGTAAAATCAAATCATTTTAAAGCCAAATGTCTAGTGCATTCTCAAGCCGATTTTATAAAAGACAACAGCATAATGTCTTTATTTTTTCAGATATCCATCTTTGTCTTTAACCAATTAAAATAAAAATATTTTTGATAGTATCAAACTATTTTTTTTGCTAAACTCCACTATTTATAAATATAGTTTAATAATTGCCTTTGAAACTTTGTTTTTAACATTATGTGTTATTGTAATCCATCTATGTATATAGTTTTTATTTATTTAAAATCTAAAAGACCTTCATGTTTATTTTTTAAAATATTTTAAAAATTAATATTAATTTTTTTTTAATATAATGTGATTAAATAAAATTATAAAGTAAAATTAGTTACTTATAAAAAAAAATTGTACGTTTTGGTAGAAAAATGTGCATCATATATAGAGATCATTGGCTAGAAAGTTGTTATAGAGGCACACATATTAGATCGTACTACCAAAAACATTATCCCCACCATGTTGGACCCATTGCCAACAAAGACAAGGAGTCGGTCCATTATAGCATTGATAAAAGCAACATAGCCTTTAAGCATGTGATAAAATCACAACATTAACAATAGTAATGTGGTAGGTGCAATATGCTACAAGTTAGAAATAATCAAATTTTAGATAGAAATATCAATTCTCTAATCCCAATAAAATTTAAATAAATAAAAATAAATAAATTATGTCATATATTCGTTATTTCTTATAATGATATATATATATATATATATATATATATATGCATTTTTTTAATTGGTAATCAACTAACTACTATAGTATCTTTGTAATAAAATTAATAAATGTAATGATATTAAAAACATTATTGCAATCTAATAGACTTTCTACATAAATAAGAGATAAGAACTTATTAAAGTAAATACTAAAATAAAGAATTCTAACTTAATTTTTGAAAAAAATATATGTTTTGATGTCTTTTTTATCTTGTGGTTCTAATAGATTCAAAAATTAGATTTGGCATCTATCTATGCTTTGGCATCTTTCATTAGCTCATAAGTTCTTAACTCAATATTAAAAGATTAATTGATAATAAATGTATCAAAATGACTTTTTGTATAATCTTAAGAGAATTTGCAATTAATCTAAAACAATCAATGATCATAATTATGAAATTATGTAAGCTTCTTAATTTAAATAAACTCTTGACTAATATATTTTTTTAAGTATTACATATATCTAATTATTTCTATTTAAGAAATATTTCTATAAAGAGACATATCAATTATTTTTACACTATATCAAATCAAATAATATCTAAACCAATCTTAGTTTAGATGTCTAATCCTAATTAAATCACAAATGTTGTTGTTATGTATATTTTTGCATTTCTATCAAGTTATAATATGCATTTTTATTGTTATTTCTATTTTAACCAAAAACAATACTAATGCAAAGCATTGCATTGCCCTTCTTTATAATAGCTATATTAAATTAGAAAATATTTTTTACATGATATCTTTACTTGAGAAATTAAATTGGTTATTTTTTTAGTTCAAAGACCAAAAGTTTTATTTTAGAAGCTAAGACAATCTTAATTTAGTTCTAACAAATGTTTGAAATTTTTTTATCTTACAGATCTTCTTAAGGAGAAAGAAAAAGAAATGAAAAGAAGAAAAAAAATAATAACTGTGATTTCAAGTTCTCATCTTGCACCAAAGTTCAAAGCAAAGCCAAAAACATATTTTAAACATTTATTGTTTTTTTTTTGGTCTTAACCTAGTATTTAACAAAACTGGCTACCTCTTGCAAGTGACTTTTGGAAATTACTTTGTTGAATCTTTAAACGTAGTTTAAGTTGAAATGACAATGCCACCTACGCCTTTTATGGTTCAAGATTCTGTATTGTCTTGAATTTTAAGCATAAAATGTGCATAGTGCTCCAAAATGTGGTAAAAAAACTGAATCAATAATTTTGTTTCTGTTTTCTGTGAATCAGATTTAAATAACCATATCCTTCTACATTTTTTCATTCCCATATAAAACTACTTGTGTCTGTTGTAATCTGTGAGTCATAAATAACAAAATAAATAATTTTCTTTTTACTATTTTTAATCTAGATGTTAATTAGTAGGTGGAGCATAATTTTAAATTATCATGTCTACTTATTAGACTGTTTATCTGTTTAAATCGTAATAAAACTCACTTCCATCATCTTCCTTGAAACACAATTTTAAGAACAAAAAGATGAAAAATTCACAAGTTTACTATAATTGCAATCAAAAAATGGCTGTAATTTTATTATTTTACTGATTAAGAAATAAGATAAATTCATGAATAAAAATATAAAAAAATGTAATTTTTTTTTCATCAACTACATTCTACGAATATTTTCAATCAAATTTGAAGAACACAACTTCAGATTTGAACACAATTGGCTAGACTATGAGCCACGACTAGATTTATACTAGATACAATGACGCGCCGAGGCACCCATATCTGGTCAGGATACAAATGTGGAAAGATTTCAGTAAAATGCATGCTCTCCACATGGCTTGCTGTAATGCTGTTGACTCGAGACGTTCATATTTCCTGCTACCTGATCGCTATACCGGTGGATTCCCGGCTGCCAACTTCCTATTATCAGCTTGATCTGCCTTGGATGGGACTCCTTGAGCAAGCTGGCTGTGGTGCAGCCCATAGAAAATATACACAAGGACACCTAGAACAGTCCACACGGAGACTCGCAACCATGTCCCAATTCTGTCAGCAGAAACTTCACCAGTTCAGGCTCATGAACCCCCATAATGCAAAAACAATGGCCAGACTTATTTGATATACAATTCTCAGGGCATGAAAAGAAAAGGGACTTGATGAAACAGATGGTGAAGCAGAGTTCAGGAAACGTACCCCAAACTAATCAGCAGATAAACATTCACGAGAATGCTTGCAATTGGAAGTGCTGGCACCCATGGGCAGTGGAAACCTGCACATTAAGTAGGAATCAGGAATGTGGCGAATGCCTGGCATTGACCTCTACAAGGTGAGATGCAATTTGCTCCCATTTGTGCGAGACCCTGTTGTTGGACGAATGGCGATGCGAGGCTGATTAGAGCATGAGGTAGGAGATAAAAGGTAGGTTCGTTTTGGTGGTGAAGTATGCACCTCCGGGTTGTCCGAACTTATGTTGACCATCGTCTTGTTCGATAAGGCAGAGGATGGTTGATGCGGCAATGAACAATGGGATGCCCAAAGACCCCAACCCCCATCGCAACAGCCTGCATGAAATCAAATCACAGGAAAATAAAGGCTTACTTCGCAAAGCTTGAAAGAAGTCTATAAACGAAGAGAAACACAGGACCGGTTATGCTTACTGGAACGCGTACTGAAAAACGACTCTTTCAAGGCAGAAGTGCCTTTCAAGTGATTGAAAGAACTAGGATGAGTAATGATATACGCTGGAAGAGCAGTAGCTGCAGTGGCTAGGCTGATAAGTATGACTCCAATAAGAACACCCAAGATCGCCAATCCAGCTGCATGCCGCCTACCTTCCTCCCTGCTAGCTTCTGTAATCAGACCAGAAAAATCTCTAAAATAGATCCGAAGAATTCTTGTAAGGACTGAGTTAAAACTTGAACTACAATTAATTGTGAGTAAAGATCTCAAGTACCAGATAGATTAGTTGGTTGCTCTAGCATCAGCAGTGGATTCTGAAGGTCCTCTCTAGAATAGCTCGGTGGTATTTCAAAAACCCGTGTCTCCTCTTCCAACTCTTCAGTCTCGTCTTGCAAGGGTGATCCTATGCTGCTAGCTGATGACGCATAGTCTCCATAAGTGCTGCGTCCGGGCAATGAGTGCAAGGATGCTTCGGATAAGATTGTTAGTACAGGCGAGAAAATAGGATACTGACTTGTGAAAATCGGTCTTGAAGGAGACTTCGGCACGACTGGAAGTCCCTCGGACGTACGGGAAGGGAACACCGGCTTGGATGTATCCGGCGGTGGAATGTATCTTAGTACTAAAAGGCAAACCGATACAATGGTAAACGCCAACAACGTCCCCACACTGACCTGCCAAAATATGAACACAAAGGAGCGTTGAAACTTGTGCAACTTAATGTCATCACAAGGACACAGGTTGAGTCATTTTAGGCACGCCGATTGGGTGACTCAGATTATGCCTGTGAACTAGTAAACTCAACTAATCATATTCCACTACTGTTTCCCTTAGACGATAGGGATTTCTCAAATAAAAATTTTCCTTACCATGCCAGAGAGTTCATCAACGTTCATCATGAACGCCATGATTGCCGCAACAGCACCTGCTAATATGGTGCCATTGACTGGCACAGAAGTCTTGGGGTGAACGGTGGAGAAGAAAGGTGGAAGCAGGCCGTCACGAGCCATGGCCATCAAGATTCTGGGCTGGTCACAAACAGTAGCCTTAGGGGAAGAAGTCCTTGAGTTCACAAATAGCACAAAACAGGTGTGCAGCAAAAATGGCCAGAACTCGAATACCGCTAAAATATCCACCTCACAATCTTGTGCTTGTATACAAAATACATTTTAACTGTGAAGACGTCACAAAACATGAGCAACCTGAACTAAAGGAACTGCTGCAACTACTACAAACAGGCTCCAAATGCCGTGCAAACATATTAGACAAATAATTGACGAACCTGAGGCAGCAAAGAACCCATGAGAGTTGTGGCTAAAGCTGCAACCGCGCCAGCTGCAACAACATATCTGAGAGAGTTTCACAATACATAAAATACAGTCATATGCTTCTTTTCAACTGAAAAAGTATCTTCAAAAACAAAAAAGATGAATAAATGAAGACACTATTAATGACTACGATCAAACCATCAAACCACTCTAAGAACTCTTTGATTCTGCCCAAAAATGTAATGAAATATTGGAATAGGAGATTATACGTGGCCCAGGGCATGCCATTTTCCGCAAAGGCAGTTGACATGGGAGTGTCTGGGTCCATCAAATTGTAGGGAACGAGACCCACGATGACGCCAGAAACCAATATGTAAAGGCCTCCACAAATGAATAATGCCAATGCAATGCCAAGTGGGAGGTCGCGCTGAGGATTCTTAACCTGAGACAAGAAACAACCATTGTAGACCTTATTCGTTGGCTACATCCAGATGGCCATAATCGTGAGAAGATCAGCACGCACATATCCACCCATCTTATTGAAGTGGATCAAGTACACATCAGACTTAACCTACAAATAGTTCGGGAACCAAATCTCTTCGCAGTATTAACATTGTCAGAGATGGTTAAAATCGGAATATTTACTCTTACAGCAATATCGTTTAATAGTGCCGTTTCCCATTCAATTGAATTATCAAAATAGGTGAAAAAGGGCCAAGCGCAAGTAAAAAAATCCATTGATACACATGTATCAGTGCCTAATGCATTCTAGCACCCAATACAAAAAGAGGTAGAAATGCATTCTTAGCGAGATAGTATACCTCTTCTGCAGTGCTTGCAACAGTATCGAATCCAATGTAGGCAAAGAAAAGTGTCGCAGCACCTCCCAGCACTCCATTTATTCCATATGGCATGTACCTGGTCAGCAGAAAATTAACGAATTCTTGATACTTTCAGATACTAACTCACGTAGAGAAAGCCATTGATGAATAGTGCACGTCCAAAATCTCTATGAATATGAAAAAGGACAATTGCATCACATTCCCTTAAGTTTTAAAGTTTACACCCTAATTAAAACGATCACAAAAGGTGCAGAAGCAGATTTGCAATATTTGACAGAATACGCTTCGTATGCCAGTAGAAGCTCACCCATCAGGTTGCTCGTAACCTTTCCATCCGTTTTTGGATCCCGCATAGGAACCAGCACCCGCCACAAAGAGCAGAACTAATACGTTGAGAACTACCATAGCCGCTTGCACCCTGGCGCTCTGCCAATACACATATACCCTTGATCTACATCAATCAATCCGTAGGATCTCACATTTGCAAATCGCAGGTGACGATGAGATAACGAACTTCAAGAAAGATGATATATTGTAGATCTGGATTCACACCTCCCGAATCCCCACGCACAGCAAAGCCGTGACAATAATCACCAGGAAGGCAGCACATGGATCGACAATAATCTCTGTTGAAGGAATTGTTCTCCGAATCAGAAGCCATGGTAAGTTTTCCTCGCCTCCAACAAAAACGCCCTGTCATTCGTACAGTCAACGCATGTTCAGGTTCCAATTTCACAGTGCCAATGTCTGTGACGTATGTTGATGCAAATCAAAAGCACACCCAGGGGTTGAAGGCAGAAATTGTACCAAATTGGGGGCAATTCCTCGTGCTACTGTAGAACCGCCAACGGTGTACTCCAAAATGAGTCCCCAACCAATGATCCATGCAACTCTGAAATGCACCGCGCAAAGGTAGATTAACTCAAATCCCTCATACAACAAATTCAAATTTCGATAAACAATTTCACTTGTAGATTTTGAGACAACTATTATAATCCAGTTGAATAAGGTTCGGTACATACCCTTCACCAACACAAGTGTAGGCATAATGATAAGCACTGCCTGCAGAAGGGCATCGGCTAGATAGCTCCGCGTAACAAAGGGCAGCAAGCGCTGCAGCGATGCCCGCAATCAAAAAAGATATTGTGAGAGCTGGTCCGGCACGCTCCCTCGCTACTGTGCCCACCAGCACATACACTCCTGCGCCAACCGTTGACCCTATCCCTGCAATGCCACTAATTTCAAATCCCCTCTCTTCTTGACAAACCGTCTACAAGCAATTCGTAAACAATTTCACCCCTGTTGAAAGTATAGCAAGTCTGAAGGTGGTTCAATTCCGGCTCTAAAATAAAGACGAAAGTCAACGGACTGACAAACCCCAGTTCCGAGCACTACTCTAAATTGAAAATTCTTGGAGAATCTTAAAAACGTGTTGAATTATCCTACAAACGTTAAAGTGCGATCACAGGTCCCTCCCGTGTTGCCCATGCCTGTTTTCTCTGAGACGAAAGGTATTGCCATCTCTGAGACTCCTGGTACTTCAAACTGAATCATTGAACTAGGAGCTAATTGACGGAAGTGAGACAGTATGTGTGATCTTTCCGAACACGTACGTATGAAATTTTGATACGAACCTCGGAGAATTGGCAGAGCTAATGATCGTTCCCTTCGTCCATGTCTCAAGAAATGAAAATGCTACAGGAATCCAGGCGGAAAAAACAGCAAGACAGAAAGACAGCAATCCAGAAAAATGCAAACCTATGGAAACGAGGTCGGCAATCCGAAGATGCTTAGCCAGTTCGATGTCGCCATGTCGCGTATGATGCACCTGCTTCCGTCTCCACAGCGAGGAAGACCCCTTGGTTCCCATCCTCGCCACCTACACCTTCACCTTCACCGTCGTGTCACAGCAAACTCTCGTTGACCGTCTCTCAGCGGCTGCCATACCTCACTCTCTCCCCCGTCTCAGCCCCCTCATGTCCACTCGGTCCCGCACCATCTAAAACATCGAACTACATTCGCAGAATTCGTAATTGACCCCCGAGCACTGCAATCCTCGGGAAACCGCACCCTTCCATTCAACACAGACAATCCAGCAACAAAACCCTCATGTTCACAGCCAGAATGGTGTGACCCGCCCGCAACCCTCCGCCGCGTCCCTGAATTCACCCACACTCGGCACCTCCAGAATTCGCCTCTCCCAACGCAACAGCAACAGATTTGACTGCATTCACCCTTTGTACCCACAATGCAGACGTCTAAATCGCCGGCCCGGCACTTCAGGACGTCCCAACCACCTTAAGACGCAAAACCAGTCAGTCACACACCACGAAGTCCCCGCATGGATCCCAACTGCAACTATCCAGAAAAAAGACACCTTCCCAGCAACTCCTGCAGTTCGTCCCCCCTAGAAGACCTCGCCGCGCAGCAAGCGATCAACACACACTCAGCTGGTGTTTTTTAAGGCATTAAACTGATCGAGGATTAAAATCGGAAACTCACCACGACCGCACCGAGAGCCTCACGCGCGGCTCAATAAGACCCACAGAGCGCATTCCACGCGAGACGGTTCTGACGGCCACGATGAATCCAGCCTTAGAATCTAGCCTCAGAATCTAGCTAGCTAGCTCGCTACTGCGCCATTGCTGGCTCTTTACTTTTGCGGTGAACAGCAAAGTTAACACTAATTCAAACACACACACGAGAATTCGATGTTCCAGCGTCTTACTTTGTTGATAAGCAGGACATGATTGTTCGGTTTGTTTGTTTGTCTCATTCTCCACGTGGAAATCGTGTTCAATGAATGACACCAATTGATTCTCACTTCCCAGCTTGGTTCCAAAACGTGCTCGGGATTAGGCCCCACAATGGCGGGCATGGGAAATATGGGTTTAGGCTCCTTGGTTGGTACCCACCCCGCGGAGAGGGGGGGGGGTTCAGACACGAGAGATCCCGTGGTAATAGGGCAATCAATGTGTGTGAGCGAACGTACATACATGCATGGAGGTGTGATGTAGTAATACTTACTGAATATATATACATATATATTCTGAAATTAGGGCCCAGGTTCAACACCTATTGAAAACATGATAATTCGAACTCATGCACCCTTTGCATGTTCAGGAAAAAGCACTCCCACCACTGAATGTGGCATTCAAAGAAGACAATGGAAAAAAAGATGTTGCAAATACCAAAACGGCACTAGAAAAAGTATACATGCTATTTGGAAAATACGTATTTTTAAAGAAAGTATATCTATTCACGTATATATAGTAAATGATTTAAATGAACAAGATTTAAATTTTATTTGTACGAATTAAATTTATATATAACTAAAATTAATGTCTATATGACTAAATATAATTGATTTTTTTTTAATTTTTATTTTTTTTCTTTGAAGATAAGTGACTTTAGGATTAAGGTTTGTTGCAATTGCAAACCAATTACTTTTTAAGATTTTAACTTATATAATGACATTAGGGTTTAGGATTAGGGGACAGGGGCTGGGAACAAGGAATGCAAACAAAGGCCAAGGGCTGAAAATGGGGGATTGAAATTGGGAACAGAGATAGAGATGGATGGAGTTAATCATGAGATGGCAAGAGGGTGTGGCTTTAACAACTCCTTATATATATTAAAATCATTCTTTCTATGATTTATTTATTTATTCATATATATATATATATATATATAGTCACACACAAGATAAGGCTATTAGAGTGAATCATAGAAAAAATTAAACAAAAATATTACATACTATATGATGATGAAAATGACATGATCTCCAATTTGCAACAAACCAAAGTGCTTTTAAAATTTGAATCATTGTTTTATTGCAGATTACAAAGCATTCATTGCTTTTAAATGCATATTAAAAAATAAATTTTACATTTTAAAAATGTATAAAATAAAAAATTGAAACTCAAAATTTAAAGTGGCTTGTTGAAAATTTTGTTGGTCCTATCTTATCTCTCTGCAAAACTTAAAAGCACATTAAAACAAAAGATAATCTTTGAATTGCATGCTTTATAGTCTACTAAGTCCTTGAGATGCAAAGATATCAAAGAATTTTATTTGATAAACCAAAATTAAAGGAGATTAAGACTATATTGGGTTAAACATACAACAGTTTAGACTTGAGAATCCCTAACTAGATAGCAAAGGATTTGATGTTGCTCTTCAAATTTTCAAATTTTTTAATAGGTACTAAAATACATTGAAGACCTGTTTTTAAGTGGTTTCTTAGAGGGTCTTTATTCTCATGGGATAAGGTAAGAGAATACAGTTTTTAAATCTTTTGATTGGTTGAAATTGAAAAATCTGATATTGTTATTTTTACTATTAGAACAAATCATCCAAAAGCTTGAAGAAAAAAAATGCAATTTTTTCCTACATGCTATGAATAGTGATGTCCCTTGAAGTTGTTGTTGGATTCATCCCAAGTTTAAAAAATTAGAAAAAAAAAAACTACCTCGATAGGAATGGTAAATAAAATTAAAAATCAAGAAGATAAGTATAAAACCATCCAATCTGAAATCTTTTTTCTACTAATACAAATCCTTTAGAAAACTTTGTCAGTTGTGTTTTTAAATATAACAATAATGATTATTTCAACACTCGAAAAAGAAATTGGATAAAACATTAGGTAGACAAAATCATGTTATCTGAATGCTTTAACTAAATAAAACAAATGTTAAATGTGTCCAAAAAAATATGAAAAAAAGCACTTGTACTTATAGAGATAGAATAAACAAAGATGAAAAAGAATTATATAGATTTAAAATTTGTGTATATGTATGTTTGACACTACATCCATTAAAACTATGAAAGTGATCCATGCTAATTATTGTCGATAGACTTCCTTCACTCATTGTTTGGCAATATGGGCCTTTGACATTTGTATACACACACAATGTGATTAAGGAGTAGAATGTATTGATGTTACATGACTCCATATTGTGATTAAGGAGCAGAATGTATTGATGTTACATTGTTAAAGAAGTACAATGTAGTTTAGTCTAGAGTTTCGTTCATCCGGAGTACCTTTCGAGCAATACATTACTTCTTTTGATTGGTTTCTCTTTCGACTCTTTCAGTCTACACCCTGTAATGTCATGAGTAATGGTAGTACAGAGCTTAAGCCCTCATTATCATCTCTGTGTGATTATTGATGTATGTGTATACATTGTCTGGTGAAAATACTTGCACCAATAGGTTATGGGCCAAGCGCTTGTAGTGCATTTTCATATGCATCTTTAGTTCAAGGGTTAGAATCATTTTAGTTGTTTCTGTGCAAATTGGTCACTATGCATCTCTGATAGTTGAGTATTAGTTTAAGTTAGCCCATTTCCTTCTTCGTTTTGAGAGCTCTTTTTTAGTTGTTTGTTTTTTAGTCCACAAAGCTTGTCTAAAATGGCAAAGTCAGGGACCATAAAAGTAAGAGATTCCAGGTGTGTAGAAAAATATAATGGCACCAATTTCCATCTCTGGAAAATGCATATGACCTTTATCTTTCAATCTCGTGATCTTTAGGTATCATTTTTGTAGCAAAGCAAAAAATAACGTCAATATTTATTATAGAAGAGAAAGTATAGAAGAAGTGTGATAAGATAGTGGCCATGGCTATTTTCTAATCCATTGATAAGTTTCACAAAGAAGAGGTAATCAATTGTCAAACAACTGCTAAAATATAGACAATTCAGCATCTATCATCATTTACACTCTAAAAAAAGTATTATAGCTTTATAGGAGAAGTATTATAGTTGCATGCTTGGTGAGGATGATTCAATTGTGGTTTATATTAGTACTTTCTAGAAGTTAGCAAAACAACTTATTAATCTAAATTAGATAAATACTAAGTAACAACTAATTAGCAAGATCAAGGTCTATCTTCATCCTAGCTACAAGTCTTTTTCTTAGTATGGAATATTGTTCCAATAGTTGCACAATCTCTTTGTCTTTTTTAATCTCATTTAGTATAGTTCAAAGCAGTTCTTAAAGAGTATAATGGACAGACAAATGTTCAAGTCGAGAAGATCTTTTTTACCTATACTAATCCTTCCTTATGGAGCAAAAATTATCTTTCTCTCACTATAGAGCAAAACAAACTCAAGGTTAATAGGCTTGCTAAACTTAAGAAGAAAACTTGATACTATAGGTGTGGTAAGAAATGTCACTAGAATAGGAATAATTTTTATGAAAATAGTGATGCCAATATAGTGGATACAATAGAAAAGATCAATATTCTCATCTGCAATATTAAAAATATAAAAAAAATTTAAAATAAAGCACAATCAAGCACATGTTATTACCTCTTTTATTTGTAATAATTCCTCTGATTTTAATTTATTTGCTAAGATTAAAGCCTACTATATTAGTTGTACTAATTCCTTGTACAATTATGATCCTATATAATATACAAACTATAGTACAACTAAACACATGTATAATAAGCAACAATGATTTAAGATTTTTTAACTAATCTAAGATAAGTACTTGAATATTAAAGTTGTTGATGACTTTATTCTATGAATACAAAGAATAAGTGATATTATTATAACTACTACAATTAATGGAATTTTTAACACAATGTATCTTAAGAATGTGCTATATGTTCACAATCTTTAGAAGAATTTCATCTCTATCAATAAATTCACTAAAAAGAATGATGTAATTGTTCATATTTGAGACATTTGCAAGATGATATCCGACTATGTGTCACGGACACAGAAATACAGATTTAGGATCTAACAAGAAGTTCAAGAAGAACTGGCAAGAACTAGATTAATCAGATGAATATAAGAATAATACCAGAGAGATGAGCTAGAGCTCCAAGAGATGTATTGTCGAGATTGAAGAACTCTTCAGCCTCAACTCCAATATATACTCTTATTTAGGAAGCTTCTCAAGAACCTTCTACCAACTAGGAAGCTTCTAGAAGGTTCCAGAGACTTGCTTCTAGAAGGTTCTAGAAACTTATCTCTAGAAGGTTCTAAGGACTATGTCCCTAACATCTTCTACCAATTAAGAAGCTTTTAGAAGGTTTCAGAGACTTGCTTCTAGAAGGTTCTAGAAACTTGTCTCTTAGAAGGTTCTAGAAACTTGTCTCTAGAAGGTTCTAAGGACTATATCCCTAACATCACCCCCTCCTTTAGCTTCGAGGTCTCTGAGAAGCAATGTTGTTCTTAATCAGTACCAACGTAAGAAAATGAAGATCTGTCGTATAATGTCTGCTATGAACTCCAACTGTTGTTTACAAAGCAAGTGGTTCATCGGCCCTTAAAGCCAACGGTAGTGGCCCACTCCTTGAACTTCTGACCAAGTATGAACTTCCGTATCCTCATTGTGAAATTGTCTTGCAAACACGCCTTCTGGCTGACCATCGTAAGCAGGCTCGAACTCAAATACAATCACCAGTGATCGGTTACTCGATATCCTCCGTCGTTGTCGTAGTATAGGCGGTTCTTCATCTCGAGGTCGCCTTTGTGA